CCCTTCTCGGTGTCTTTGAGTCTACTGCTATTTTGTTCCTTCTGTTTTGCTTTGTTTTTATACTCCACAAATAAGTGAAATCATTTGGTACTTGTCTTTCTCTACCTGGCTTACTTCACTGAGCATAATACCCTCTAGCTCCATCCATGTTGTTGTAAATGGTAGGATTTCTTTTCATTGTATGGCTGACTAATATTCCATTGTGTATATGTACCACATCTTTATCCATTCATCTACTGATGGACACTTAGGTTGCTTCCATATCTCGGCTATTGTAAATAGTGCCATGATAAACACAGAGTGCATATGACACTTCACTTATTCTTAAGTGAAAAAAAGTTCAAGTAGCAGAGAAATAGTCTAGACTTATTTATGTAAAAAAAAATCATGTGTGTGTGCACATGTGAGTATATCATGAATATTTGTAAGAGTTAAGGTCTGGAAGAATATCTACCCAGTCAGTAGTTCCCTCCAGGGAAAGATGTGAGATAGGGTATGTGAGAAGGAGTTTCTTGCTTGTAACTTAATATAGTTTTATATTTTCTTGATTAAGTGCTTTTGGAACTTTAGAAAAGTAGGCTGGAGCGTACTCACAAGCTAATAATAATAAAATAATTTTTTCGTTTCTGTTTCTGAATAGTTCCTTAGAAATGAGAGACTTCCTATAATCAGGGACTCAAGTAACCCTTGTGATTAACTCCAAAGTAAAAGATGTGGAACCCAGACTAAGAATAGACAGGCCTTGTGATAAATTAGATGAAGATAGTCCGAGAAATTGATCTGACTGGCTGAAAGACAGCTGAGAAAATTATTCTTACTCTCATTACTCTCAGAAATCTTGCCCCATCCTGGAAGCCTGGGCCCGGACATTGAAAGAGTAATGGGGTTTTCTGGACACAAACCCCCTTTGCATTCCTTCTCCACCTCCCCACCCTGTGCATTTACTGTGTTTGCTTAGTGCATTACTGCCCCTCATATAAATGCTCCAGGTCCCTGGGCCTTCGGTTAATCACCGTCCCTTTAGGGTCATCCTGTTAAAATGGACTCGTGTGCGTTACATTTTTAGGTGCCTTGTAATTTGCAAATCTTACTCCCATTTCATTATTTCAGTTAACCGGGAATAGCGCGCTGGCACTGTAATGCATTTTGTACGTCTCTTATTTAAGTCAAGTCGGCTGTAGGAGACAGAAGAGGAATGTGAAGGCTGTCAAAATCTTGGCCCCCGTTTTTAAAGCCCAGTGTTTAAGCGCTGAGTTGTGAAATGTGGCCCATCACAGAGGATATATAGAGAGAACTGTAACAGCTCTACTTCCTGTCTCAGGTCAAAGAGCACCCAGCGTCTCTACGTGCATTCTTATTTCATTTCTTGAGGCAAGTTTAGGGGATACCTTTGGTCTCTTTTTACCCCCATAAGAGAGGTGAGGCTCAGGAAGGATACTGGAAGTCCTTACGCGCATGGAAAGCGGGAGACGATTTCTCACCCAGCTCTGCCTCTCTGCAAAATCCAAGTGCTGAGCATTCAGAAGGGAAATAATAGAGCTAAAAGCTATCCCCTCACACCTGTCAAGATGGCGATGATAAAATAATAAATAAATAAATAACAATAGACAAGTGTTGGTGAGGATGTGGAGAACTTGGAACCCTTGTGCGCTGTTGGTGGGTACGCAAAATGGTGCAGTTGCTATGGGAAACAGTATGAGAGTCCTCAAAAAATTAAAAATAAGATATACCATATGATCTAATAATCCCACTTATGGGTATTTGTCTAAAAGAATTAAAATAAGGGTCTCAAGGAGATATTAGCACCCCTATATTCACTGTAGCACTGTTCACAACAGCCAAGACTGGAAGCAACCTGAATGCCCATCTACAGATGAATGGATAAAGAAAACGTGGTACATACATACAACAGAGCACTGTTGAGCCTTATAAAAGGAAGGAAATTCTGCAGTATTGGACAACATGGACGAATCATACTAAATGAAATAAGCCAGTCACAGAAAGATAAATAAAATACTGCTTGATTCCGCTTAGTCAAATTTGTAGGATGTGGAAGTAGAACTGTGGCTGTTAGGGACGCGGGAGAGGGGGAATGGGAGTTACTTATCAGTGGGCATAAAGTTTCAGTGGAGCACGATGAATACGCTCTAGAGACCTGCTGTGCAACATTGCACCTGCCTACGCTCGACAGTAATGCATCATACACTTTAACATTCGTTAAGAGGGCAGTAGATCTCATGTTCAGTGTTCTTACCACGATAAAATTAAAAAGAAAAGATTGCATGCTATCTATGATAGTGATGTCCTTGGGAGAAATGCCTAGACATGGGATTCGTAGGTCTGGGAGTGTGTCTTTATAGTTTTTGATACATGTTGATAAACTGCTTTTTGAAAGGACCGTATTAATTTGCACTTTGGCCAACAATTTTGAACATCATTTTTATCACCTCCTTGCAGGCATTAGTTGTTAAAAAAATGAAAACACAAACAAAATGTCCAGCTTGTTTGCTGATCCAGGCCTGGCGGTTTGCAGAGTGGGTGGTGCCCGTGGGGTGGCGGGAAGGAGGTGGAGATGGTGCCCATCTCCCACTTACCTAATGTGGCACTATTAAAATTATCTTATTATAGGCACACATTACTTTAGTAATATAGATATTTTAAACTTATTTTTCAGTAATTTGTCTTACAGAAAATTGAAAAAAATGATACGAATTCCCTGTACACCCTTTGCAAATACATTTTTTTAAAAGATGAAAGTAATTAGAAATGTCCCCCAAATGTCAATCCTTACATCAGCAAGATACTGGAAGTCTGGATTTCCTAGCAGGCAGGCCTAGTGTCCAATAGCAGCTTGGGGGAAAATGCTCGTTAATATGCAGACTCTTGGGCCTGAGCAGGGTCTATAAAATCATAATGTTCGTGGGGCTAGTAAGCCTGGAAATCTGCATTTAAACAGCCTCTCTCTCTGGGTGATTCTGAGGCCCCTCAAGGGCTGAGAACCACTGTCCGAAAGGTTCTGCTTTGTTACTGTATTTTCTCCAGCAATATTGCATCTTCTTTACTCAGAAAGCCCTCCAATGTGCAAGGGTTGAGAAAAGTGAATGAAATCCGAGTATCTTCCTTGCAACTTGTCACATTTTCTGCTGCTACTGCACTGCTGCAGCTAAGCTCTGTAGTCTGTTTTCCCAAAAGCCTGCTCTCTCTCAGACTAGAAAAGACACTCCAGGGGAGGCCAGGTCCACAATATTGGTGTGGATGGTGGTGGTCCTTCCCACCCGCCGCATCTTTCCTGGATGTTCTGGGAAGTGGTGCCCCGAGGCCTCCCTCTCTCCTGGCTCCCTTGGAGGAGAAGCAGGAGGCCCTGAAATGGGGAGGGATCCTCCCTGGATCCTGGCCCCAGGGCCTCCTGCTGCTGCTTTTGTTTAACGCTGATGGCTCTCCGTGGACAGCTTGTGACCCGTGTGTGGGCCCCCTGGAAGGTTAGCTTGACCTAACTGCCTCCATTTTGTGTCCTCCATCTTGAATAGTTATGTCCCCTACACACCCACTGCCTCCATTTTGTGTCCTCCATCTTGAATAATTATGTCCCCTACACACCCACTGCCTCCATTTTGTGTCCTCCATCTTGAATAATTATGTCCCCTACACACCCCCTGCCTCCATTTTGTGTCCTCCATCTTGAATAATTATGTACCCTACACGACCCCCTGCCTCCATTTTGTGTCCTCCATCTTGAATAATTATGTCCCCTACACACCCCCTGCCTCCATTTTGTGTCCTCCATCTTGAATAACTATGTCCCCTACATGACCCCTAGCCAACCGGACCTCCATTTTGTTCTGTGTCCTCCATCTTGAGTAAGAAGTTTCCTGCTCAAGCCACGCCCACCATGGAAACCATGCCCAGCAACCTGTGCAACAAGACCCTGACCCTCCTCAGCCAATCAGCTAAGGTCACAATGAATCACCCCCTTGGAAAGCCCCTACCTGTTGTTCCAAAAGTATAAAAGCAAAAAGGGAACTCTGTTCAGGGTCTCAGACCGAGGCCTGTGTTCTGCCGGCCCCTGAGACCCGAGC